AATCTAAAAAAGTAAATAAAAGAACTTTACATTGAGAACTATAGTATTATGGCAAAAGAGATCAAAAGGAAAGCAGAAAATGGAAAGATGTCTCCTAATATAGTGATAATGGCCATAATTCCAAAATTATCATACAGACTTAATATAAGCACAAATCATAATTCCAATAGCATATCTCACAGAATTAGAGAACACAATCTTAAAATTCATTTGGAAACAGAAAAGAAAAAGCAATACTGAGCAAAAAATCAAGACGGGGCATCACAATCCCTGACTTGAAATTATACAGCAAAGCTACTGTGATAAAAACAATAAAGTTCAGGAAAAAAAGAAAAATAGACTCAAAAATCACTGGAGCAGATTAAAAGATGCAGAAACATCTCCAAACATCTTTTATCTTATCTTTGACGAAGGGACCAAACACATTCACTGGAAGAAAGATAGCCTTTTCAATAAATGATGCTTGAAAAACTGGCTTTTCAAATGCCAAAAATTAAAACTAAACCCATATCTTTCCTCATTCACAAACTGAAATAGAAATAAATCAAAGACCTGAATATTAAAACATAAACACTAAATCTGCTGGAAGATAAGTAGGTAGAACTCTTGAAGACACTGATGCAGGCAAAGACTTTATAAACAAAACCAGGTCACACAGAAACTATCACACAGAATCAACAACTGAGGTATCATTTCTTTTTGTACTAAGGACTGAGCTCATAACTTCACCCTTGCCAGGGCAGACATTCACACCACTAAGCTAAACCCCCATCCTTGTATTAAAATATTTTGTACAGCAAGAGACTACCAACAGAGTGCACAAACAACCCACAGAGTGGGAAAAAAATTTACAACTGAATCTCAAGGGGCTAAAATTAGAATATACAAAGAACTAAAAAAAAAATCATCTCTCCCTATCAATCCAAAAATGGGCACCTGAAATGAATAGATGAAGAAGTACAAACAGTAGATAAATACATGAAAAAGTGTGCAACATCACTAGTCATTCAAGAGATGCAAATTAAAACAATGCTGAGATTCTAATGTTACTCCAGAAAAAATGGTTCTTATCAAGAAATCAACCAATAACAAATGTTGGCTGGATTGTAGGGGAAAAGTAACCCTTCTCTGTTGTTGATGAGAGTGTAAACAGGTAATGTGGGAAATCTGTGTGGAGATTCCTCAAACAACTAAAGCTGGAGGTTCCATTCAATTTAGCTGTTCCTTTTCTTAGTATCTTCCCAGAATAATTAAAAAGCATCATCATACCACAGCAATGTATGCACACTCATGTTTATGGCAGCGCAGTTTATAATAGCCACATTTGGGAAACAGCCCAATTTCCTATCAACAGGTGAACATATAAAGATCTTTATCATATATACGTGCTGATAGATAGATAGATAGATAGATAGATAGATAGATAGATAGAGGAATACCACTGTGCCAGAAAAAAGGACAAGTTCAAAACATTTCCTGCTGAATGAAGGCACTTTGAGACCACTCTCTTTAAGTGAAATAAATCTGACATCCATGTGTAAATACCACATTGTTTCTCTGGTATGAAAAACTAAAAGAGTTAATAAGGGCCAAAGTATATACAAGATATTGGGAAATGCGAAGAAAATTTTCAAATGAAGGGGGACGGGGGGGGGTAAAAAGGGACAAGAAAAAAAGAATAGAAGGAAAAATTGAAATAAAGTTTTTTGTAAACAAAGAGGGAAATGAAGTTGAAGGGAGGGGAGGAGAGTAAGAAAAAAATGAAGAATCCAGGTATATTGTATACAGGCACAAGCTCCCTACGATGAATGTTATCAGTATGTATATGTAAAGTGTACCAATAAAATAAAAGGTAAAAACACATCTTATAGTTTTGCAATCTGACACTCCAGAAAACTCAGTCCATTGACTCAGGTCTTAAGGCTTCCGGAGTTCTTTGAGTTCACTGCATCAATCATTCTTAAAACTTTTAACTTTCTGCCTTTCTCTTAAGGCTTTTTTGCCTTTACTTACTTCTCTGTGATGATTAGACTGCAGGCTGCATCACTCTGACCCCTGTCTTACACAGGTCACCTGCTCCCTCAAGCTCTGCCCTTCAGTCACCTTCCCATGCAATCCGTCTCTATGTTGACACCTACGTAAGGACCACAGAGTGCTACTGTAGAAAATAACACAGGTCTTCCAGACTTTCAAACTCAGTTTCCAAAATCAAAGATACCGGCCCTTTTTTGAAGGATTTGCTACTCCCCTTCTCAATGATAATTCCTCTGTCTCCATAATCAAAGCCACTTTAACACAGTCCTTCTCACCACCCACTCACTTCTAAACAGAAATACAAACACAAAGCATTTTAACTCCCTGCTAAGCTCTTTTGAACCTAAGCAAGCACTAAACTGGGGACTTGGAGCAGGGAAAATTGGAATAAAATAAGCTGTATCTCATGTAGAAGGAGGTGAGGTCTTGCACCACAGCAGCTGAGGGATCAAGCCTGCTCTACAGCGCGCCTTATCCAGGCCTCTTGCACTGTGAAATCTGAATGGCTACGGGTAACACTTCTTATGGCACTTGAGTGAAGTAAGTTAAATGAAATCATGTAAGGAATTGCATATAAGTAGAGATAATTATTTTTTGTTTTATTTAGAGAAAAAAAGCATAAATTAGTACAGAATTTCAAAAAAATAGCATTAAGAAATGACGAGTCATTGTCCATTTTTTGTTTTGATTCTGTAACCTGAACAACTACTTCTAAGATACCAATATGCAATTTATCAATTAATGATTTCTTACTGTTACTTTTTGCCTAGTACATATAATTTTAAAAATTCCTACCGTAATTCTGCCTAGAGGAACCCATGGGCTAATATAGGAGAGCAAACTAAGGAGGTAACCACCTAGAAGAGCATTATAGAGGCAAGAACACAGTGTTGTGAATCCAAAGATGGAATTATTCACTAGGCCCCGGGGGGCTCCACGAGGGGACCCCAGGTGTGTGCTTGATTCCCTACTTGTAGTTTATATCCCTAGCTGAGGGTACACATACACTGCTGGTTGAAGTTTGGGAGAGAATTTAGGAAGGGGGGAGAAAAGGCTGCTGTACTAAGATTTCTAGGCCCTTTTCTATGTTTTAGTTCAGTGACGTTTGGCATATTTTCTGTGAAAAAAAATGTAACCTGATTAAAGCAGCTTATTATTCAGGAAAGAGCTGTTCTGACAAAACCATTAGTTCCCCTCAGCTCCTGAAAGCTGCCCTGCAGAAAGCCCACCCTGCTGCTAATTCATGAACAAATAGCAAACCATCTACGTGACAGCCATATTTATGAAAAGTCCTCCACATCTGGCACAAGACAGAACAGTCCTACTTTACTAAACATTTTGAGGGGCTTGATCGGTCCTTTTAAAGTGGCTGAGCAAACCCTATGTCTTTTTTTCTGTCTGACTTGCCACAATTCACAACTGGAGTGGTCCTATTGCATCCCCTTGGGCATGCTCTGTGCCAGGCACATTTTACCTCCCTCCATGGTTTCCTCAATGAATTGTCTCCTCTGGATAGGTACTGGAAGAGCAAAATTTGTCCATTCATTTACCTTGTCCGTGAAAGTTTTAAAGTTTACTCCACTTTAATTGTGTTTCCCCAATCCCCTTCTCTCCATGGACCATAGATTCAAAGCTTCCCTGTATAAGATGCAGTCAAGTTGCTCTGTTCCCATGGTTCTGTCTGGGGACAGGAGAACTTCTGTTCTCTCCCCTTACACAAATTTGAACTGCATCTGTGGCCTTGGAACCACCTCAACACAATGTGCATGTGTAGTACAATTCCTATTAAGTTGTCAGTTTCGTGAAGAATTCTTGATGCACCCTTACTTCCTTTAATTCTTCCATATAAACCCACAGTTGTAGTAGCTGACAATCTGCCCAGCGGCTTGATCACACCCAGTTGCTATCTTCTCCTATTAAACCTGCCTTAAGTACTCCTCATTTTAGTATTGCAAGTTTTCCATACTGTACATTTTATTTTGTCTTTCTCAGTCCTCCAGCATCAGTGACTGATTAGCCATGCCTTCGTTTTCAGTTCATCACACAATATTTAGCTCATTCAATAGTGACACTGGGAAATCAGAGAATTTTCTAATTTTTATACTGGTTTCTCCTGAGACAGATATATTGGTGTCTGAAGATCAAATTTTTCTGTTATTTCTGGTTGCACTTACAGAGAGAGAATCTTTGACAAGTTTAGGAGCACCTCTATCTGGATCACCCCTCCTCTAAGTGACTATCACAGACTGTTCCAGTAAAGATCTTGCCTGCCATGTGAGTGCTATTACTTCATCCAAGTGACCAAAGCATGCAAGTGGGACAGAGACTTTTCTCGTATTAAATGTAAACATCTCACATTCACCCCACACCTCTAACTTACCTTCAAAACTTCTGGTTAGGGAAGTGTTATATGATATCTCCTTTTTTTCAGCTTACATGACTCCACCCTCTCACCCCACCTTCCAAGGCACCAAGGACATGCTCTCTGATGTAATCGTTTACAAAAGACAATGACACCCACGATATCTATTTTCTACCATTCAGAGAACTCTGAAGAAGAGAAGTGAATTCTGGTTGCCTACTGATAACAAAGAAATGAGAGAAAACCTACAAGAAGAAAAAGAGTTTAAGTAATTAACTTGTCATATATGTAAACTGTTTGGCATAGTGCCTGGAGCATAGTAAATGGTAAAGATTATTATTAACCTTGTGTGTCCTGCACAATCAAAACAAAGCAACACATTGATCTTGCCCACAACGATGCTATTGAGAAAGACAGGAAAGAAATAGATGATTGTATATATTTTCCGCCATGCCTGACTTAATGTTTTAAAATTGTTGACTAATATATTGTGTGAGGTGGAACAAAATTCTATGGAGTCAGGAAAAATTAGAAGAGATCCAAATGTCTGCAGAACATGGAAAGAGCTCCCCCGCAACAACGCGTGACGGGCTGTGTTTCTTACCGCTCGGGCTGTGTGTGCCCAGATTTTGTGGGGTGTTTGCTTGTTTGCTTGTTTTCCTCTTGGATAGCTCCTGCTTCCATCACGTCTTATGGACTTACATATCTTCTGTGATAGCCAGTATGAAGGCCTGTTGCCTGTCTCAAAATAAAATAGGAGATTATTACGTATTTATTCAATGGATCTCAGAATGTGTATCAGAAGTTTTGGATCTCTCATCGTCTATAGCTAGTACAGACAAGGTTTTTAAAATGGTGTGTTCTCTTGTCCTTTTCTAATGAGATCAATGAATGAATGTGCTAAACAAGTGTTATTTTTACAAGCCTTTTCTAGCTGTGCATTCAAAGATTGCCCTAGAGACCCTAACTTTAATTAGATTCAGTAGGAGGTCTATTCACTTGCATTGTTGATTCAATTTTTGGTGTCCCACTTCAGACATGAACTTAGGAAATTATTCCTAAAACATGACTCAAAAATGAATCCTAAAATACAAATGTATTTTTCATCATTTGAGTAAGAGTCTAATTAAAGCTCTACATAGTATTTAGGGAATTTGATTCTGTCTGTCACAACATTACCATAAGATGGAAATTCACAATAGTCCAGATGTGTAATTGAAGATGGAAAGTTCAATAAATTATGGGCATCGATAGAGTGTTACTCAAAATCATTCAACATACATATCTCTCTCCGTCTTCTGCCTGTTTAGTCACAGAATCAGCTGGTAAGACAAAACGTACATTAAAATCCTATCTTTATACCTTTATGATGAGAAATAAGACTGAACTTTTAAAACTATTAATATTGTTTATATATGATTATAGGACTATAAATGATGCTTTTATGTCTGAACACTTTTGTATATTGAATGAGAATTGCTGGTATATGAGTACAATAATCAAAACTAAATAAAATATAGATGATACAAATTATTAGTAGAAATTATTTTCTGTTGTAGCAGAAAGTTATGATGGATTCTAATGCAAGCAGGGACAGGAGAGTGTGATATACAGACGGTACTGGAATTGGAACACGTCAGGCCTGATGGGGCCCAGCTCTATTCCATTTCACAAGGAGAGAGATAAATTCCTGAGTCAAATTTTGCCTTAGCTCTACTCTTTATCAGTGTAATTATTGAGTTTCTAACTCATATGTGCATAGCTTTCATATGCAACAATTCTTAATGAAAATTACTTATATAAGTCCAACTTGAACAAAGTTTGACACTTGGAAAAATGCAAAATAAAATATAAATGCAGTTACTATCCACAAATAAAAGGAGAGAAAATTATGATACAGACCTAGTTTGGCTTAGGTGACTCACAAGTTTGGAGTTTGGCTATATAGTGAGGACGAATGATTCTCTTTAATGGTCACCTTCCAGCAGGATAGTTCAGTCTTCTTTACTAGGCCTCTGAAACAATCAGTGGAACCTTCAGTGACTCTCAGGGTTAAGAACTGTCACAGTGCTATATTTATCATATTCTGCTACTCAAAGTAAATCACACACTACCCCACCTTCAAGGAAACATATTCTATCTCTTGATAGCAGAAGGTACAAAGAAGTATGGCCATATTTGAAATCTATTACATTTGTACAAAACAGTTCCTCCAAGAGTGACTCAGCACGATTCTGTGTTCTTCACCAGACTATATGTAGTCAAAATGACCTTACTTCCAAAATTTATATACAAACTTAATTAAATCCCAATCAAAATATTAACAACATTCTTCACAATATTGGAGAAAACAATCTTAAAATTATAGTGTGGAACCAGAAGGGACTCAGAATAACAAAAGCAGTCCTGGTTAACAAGATCAAAGCGGGAGGCATCACAATCCCAAGTATTGAAGTTATATTACAAAGACTGATAAAAACAGCATTGGTATAGTGGTATATAGATTCATGAATGCATTTGTTTACAAACAATTTGGTTTACAAGCAGAAGTATATGGCAAAATTTTGGGTTTTTTTTTTTTGTAAATTCTGCATCAGGTGATGAACACAACAACCATTTTCTTTGGACAAGCACAATGTAGCTATTTTCTTTAGAAATGTGGAACAAATTAAACCCATGAACCATGTACAATTCCACTGTACTGGCACCAAAACAGACATGAGGATTGATGGAATAGAAGGGAAGATGCAAAAACAATCCCAAGTATTTTCAGCTATTTGATTTTTCACAGTGGGATCAAAAATATACACTGGAGGAAAGGGTCTCTTTCATAAATTGTTTTAGGATAACTGACTAGTTACTATATCTTGAATTTTGACGGTATGTGTTGTGACTTTTGTAATTTCTAGTTACATTGATGTAAGTTTTTTCTAACTTGCTCTTGATGAGTCTTGCCAATGGCTTGTCTATTTTATTTATTATCTCAAAGAATCAACTTTTTGACCTCATTTTATAATCTCCCTCCTTGATTTCAGTTTGGTACTATTTTATTGTTGTTTCTCAAGTATCCTAAGATTTTTCATAAGGTTATGCTCGCTCTGTTAGAGTATTGATTGCTCAAATTTTCCTCTTAGAGCTGCTGTAACAGTGACCCAGAAGTTTTGTTGGGTTGTACAGCCATTATCATTAACTTCCAGACAATTTTTAATTTCTTCTGGAGCCCATTATTTGTTTATAAATATGCTGATAATTTTCCAGGAGTTTTTTCCTTTTCCAAAATTTTTCTGTCATTGATTTCTATTTTCACTGCACAGTGGTCAGATAGTATGCTTGTGTTGATTTCAATTCTTTTATTTTTATATAAGAAGACTTTGTGGAGTACCATGTGATTTATTTTGAAAAAATTGTTGTGCTGCTGAAAAGGATGTATACTCTGTTGTACAGGGGTAGAATACTCTATGTATCTATTAGGTTCATATATTCAAGGATGTAATTCAGATCTCAAATTTCTATATTGATGTTTTGTTTAGTTGGTCTGTGCCTTTGCAAAAGTAGAGAGTTAAAATTGTCTACTATTATTCCATTGGTATCTATTTGTTATTTCAATTTTGGCAGCTTTTGTTTTCATAAAGATATGTGCTCCACTATTCAGTGCATATGTTTTTCAACGTTATCTCTTCTTGTTGGATTGTTTCTTTAACTAGTATATTGTGATCTTCTACCTCTCTTCTAATTCATTTTAACTTGAAGTTCATTATTTCTGAATTAGAATTGCTACAGTTACTTGTTTTCAGGGTCCTGGTGCATAAAGTGTTGTTTTCCATCCTTTAATTCTTAGTCTATGAATACTTCTTTGGATTAACTGAGTTTCTCAAATGCAACAGATTACTTATTCTTTATTTCCCCTAAAACAGAATTTTGCTCTGTGATTCATGCTGGCCTTAAACTCATGCAAGCCTTCTGTCTCGGCTTCCTTAGTTTTAGGATTACTGGCAGGCACCACTGCATCTTGGTGGATTCTTCTTTTTAATACAGTCTGTAAATCTGTCTTTCGAATGGGAAGTTGAGGCTGTTAACTTTGAGACATATTACTTAGGTGTGCTGTTTACTTACTAATATTGTTTTATCAGTTGGTGCATTATTTCTTTTACTTTTCCTGGTGCTTTTTATTGCTTTTTGTCCATTGACCTCACTAGATTCCTCTGTTTCTCTCTCTGTGTTTCTCTCTCTCTCTCACACACACACACATACATACACGATTACTTGTTTTAGTTAGAAACATTCCTAAAAATTTTAGCCAGAGTCAGACTAGCATTCATAATATCTTCTGAGCTGGTCTTTTTTTATGGAAATATCTTATTCCTCTGTCTGTTCTACAGGATACCTTTTCTGGATACAATAATCTGGGTTGAGATTTATTTGCTCTTAGGGCTTGAAATACTTCATTCAAACCTCTTCTGGCCTTCAGAGTTTGTGCTGAGAAGACTGTGACTCTAGTTTGCTATCTTGATATGTGATTTTTTTTTTCATTCTTCTCTGGCTGCCTTTAAAATTCTGGTTTTATTGACTGAATGTCTGTAAATTTAATGAGTATATGCCTTGATGAACTTATCCTTTCATCATAATTGTTTTGAACACTATAAGCATTGCTTACTCATATTTCAAAATATTTTCTCATTTTTGGGAAGTTTTCTTCCATATTTTCTGTTAGCATGTTGGTGAATCCATTTGTGAAATCTCCTGGATTTTCTCTAACTCATTTAGCTTAATTTTCTTGTTATCTAGTAGCTGCTGGATAGTCTTTTCTCATTCTTATATTTACTTTTTGGCGTCTTTGAACACTTTATCATTGTTTACTATTTTGCCCTCAATATCAGACACTCTGTCTTCACATTGGTCATTTCTGCAATGTATAAATTCTAATTTTTTTCTTATTTCAGGGATTTTTGTCTTACATATTTTGAAGGATTCCATATATTTGTTAAATCTGTTCAAATTTTGAACTTGCTTTGGTTAGCTCATTCATTTTTTTTTAAACCCATTTCCCTACAATTCATCAGGGACATAGTGAGTGCCATTGTGGTGAACTTTTGGTTCATTTCCTCTTTGAGCTCCTCTATTTCCTTCATCTATTCTATGAATTTTTGTAGATTTCTGCTACTTAGTATTTGTCTTCTTTATTCCTTGTGGCCCCTTGTTCTGCTCTGTGGGAGCTGGGAGGTTCAGAGCTCTATTTCCCTTTTTCCCCATTACATAACTGCATCTGTGTGTGTGCATATAGAAACACTCCTTTGTGGGAGGTACTGTAAATTGAAGATTAGTTGTTACATGGAGATTTTGGTGGAATGTTGCTTCCTGATGAATAATTTTCAGTCTTTGTATGCCCAGTTCTATTATTTATTCCCTCTGTTTTTTACTTTAAGTGATTTCAACTTTATCCCTGTTTTTCTGCAAGAATTTCTTCAATTTATAACAACATTCACAGGTTCAATCTTACATTTCTATAGTCTTTGAAGTTACTCTCCACTCTTTTTTGTCTGTTCTCTAGAAGAGAAAAAGAACCTATATACACCTATAAAAATCATAGACAATGGAGGCACAAATTTCTTGCAAGGTGTTATGGCACATGATGAAAAAGAAGACCAACAGACAAATAGCAGTGCAGTGGGGATTTGGAATGGCCTGTTGTTTACAAGGAACAAAAGACCACAAGGCACCAGAGTCTTAGTATTTATTAATTACATTTACATAAGGAAGATGATGAGTGGACTATTGGATGACCCAGAGGGTGGTGTTGAACTTAAGCTGAGAAGGATCTTAAGTTGATGAGGATGGCAGGAAAAGACATCAGGTTTAATGAGAAGTTTTTCCTTTTCCCCAGGTGAAACCATTTTTTTTTTATTACTTGATTCTCAGAATGTCTCCAGCTGATATAATTTTTCCCTGGAGCATCACAGCATCAACTGTGACTAGAGGCACATGGAGTTATATTTCTGCATACCCATACCATATCCAGCTCACATGACAAGATACTAGGCCTTGGGCAAACCCTAATCACAATTTAATTATGAAATTATTTTTCCCCAAAAAATTATATAGAGTGCCCCTCAACAAAAAGACCTATTATACACATGAAACCATAAGAGAACATAACCCCAAATTACTAAATAACTCAAGAAATATATAAAAACTTTAAACAGTAAGGTGTCTCTGATGGGAAAACTAATTAGGTATTCTGAGTTGCTGTGTGTGTGATTCTCAAATAGCTTTTTTTTTTCTTTTTTCTTTTTTTGGTCATAAAGTCCCCAGTTTTTCTGCTGCAAACTGGGCTTACTTCAGTCTCAGGAGCTCTTTCTGCCAGGTTACAGGCATTTTTGCAGAGTCTCATTCAGTCTGAGTTCTCAGATTAGGAATTCTTGCTACTCCTTTTCCTGGGAGTGTGGTGGAGTCAGTAGACAAATTCACTAAAAGAAGATTGTCCACTAGTCAAGATTACTCCTATAAATAAATTAATTAATCCATTTCAGTGGCATTTATCAGGGCTAGTTTAAAAATAACAAATGATACGCTCCTGTAACAAATGATACGCCTCTCTTTAGCAATGGAAACACAGCAACAACGTGTGCCTCTTCTCTTGTGTAACTCAGGCCGAATCTGGTGTCTGATTTTAGGACCAAAGTCTCTGGTTACCAGTTCATGCTTTTTAGCTGATTCCCCCAATTCTGCTCTCCAACTGCCTTCAGTCTCCAGTTACTATTTCCCCCTCATGCACTCTGGAAACTTGGTAGTATGAATTACCTAGGATTATAGTTCAGACACCTAGCCCTTCCCCACAGTGGCTTCCCAGCCCATACCTGCTCTGCACAGCTATACCCCGGGATGCTTGGAATGTAGCTACTCACCACCTGTTACAAGCAGAAGGTGCTCAGGAATCAGAGACTCATGTTCTTCCCAATGTCTCCAACTGCATAAGAGTCTCCTGGTCCCAGGCCAGTTTTCCATGAGCAGGTAAGTT